AACTGAACTGAACTGAACTGAAATATAACTATAGTTTGTCCAACAATCATCGTGTGTAAGTGCACCTTAAAAAATACTGTAGGAGGTATGACAGAGGAAGCAGGGTAAGGAGTTCATAGGGTTCAGATGTAAGCTTCAGGATGGAGGAGTTTAGGGATAGAAAGTGTGCAGAGCTTTTGGAGACTCACAGTCGAGACAGGGCTTCATTCTTCTGAAACAGCAGCTCCGGAAGTTGGCTGAGACGGTTCTTGTTGAGGCGACTGGATAGAGCAAAACAAAAACACATTCGATTAATCAACTTGTAAATGTTACAGTCGATTTAGAGGAAATGTGTCTGTGTGTGCTCTCACAGTCTCTCCAGCTCCTTCAGTTCATCAAAAGCTCCTCTCTCAACGTTACTGATCTGGTTCTCCATCAGATGACTGCAATGAAAAAGAAAACAATATATAAATAACATTAAAGAGTAACGCCAGAACATTTTTGCAGCTAAAAACCAATGTATCGGTATTTAGTAGTGTTGATCATTTCAGCTCCAAATGCTGACATTCTAGTGTGGTTCTAGTTCTAGTGGAACGTTGAAACTTGGATATTGCAGTTGAATTTCGCTACTGTCTGGTCTCGACTCTGCAGTCTGTGGCTTGCGTACGTAGGCTGATGCTCCCCCACAGACACCGGAGAGTTAGCCTCTCTGAGCTGCTAGTTTAGCTAACGTTGTAACACAGGTACTGCATAAAAACTTTTACAAACAGCCATGAATGTGCTTCTAGTGACCTCAAGCGGATTCTCTGTTTCCAGTGTGCACACAGAGAGTTTGACAGCAGCTGGCTGGTTAGTTACACTGAGCGGTGGTCAGTCTGTCACTCTGGTTGGTATTACCATCTGCAGCACACTCTGTAGTCACAAGGCCACGCCTATATATGATTCTGCTTTGGTGCTATGCTGTCTTTTTTAGATTAAGTGTGATTTAGAAACCTGAAGCCACCAGTGCACAGACACTGAGAATGGACTCTACAGTCAAGTAGTACAGTTAAGTCCTGTCCAGCAGGAAAACTTGCATTTACATAATCACATATTCTGTCATTTTTTAATGAGGTGGATGGAGTAGATGACTTAAGGATTTTAATGTGGAAATTATGCTGACATATCAGACACACATTGTTCCAAACAGAATATATGTATATATGTCTTACCATTAAATCACATCAGAAACATTATTATTATTATATGCCCCTATTATCCTTAGTAAATAGATTATATAAATATATAATATTGAATAATACTTAATATGTCAAGAGGGAGAGTTTTCACCTCTTCTGTCATTAATCAAACTGAAAAAACAAACCATCAACACACATGATTTGTCCCACAGTTGCTGCTGGGATCTGTTCATTTGATAAATGCACTCCACAGACTTCCACATCGTAAACCACTGGTGTAACACTCAATCCCCTCCTGACAGCAACGAGCCCCGGGCTCCCAGCAGGCTGCTAATCTGTTTTGAGCAGGTCTCTAGAGATGTCATTAGTTCCTGGCATGTCATCCTTTTCACACCTCATGTCCATCACTGACACTCAGTTTAACACAAGAAAACCACCATCAGTGCAGCCTCTCCCAGGGGGCACTGTGTTTCCAGGTCAAAGGGTCACAGATAAACCCCTCCCTGTTGTAAATTTGACTGACACTGACACCGAACAAGCACCTCTGGGTGGCTCATGTGTCACTGCCGAGCTAAAGCATCATTCTGTTCCCTCTGGCGTTTGATGGCACCACAACTACGATTCCCACATTCCTACCAGACCCGAAACTAGCAAAGAGATGTGGGACAGAAACTCTGCAGAATACCTACAAGCTGTCGTCTTCAGAAATGTTTCTGTGTATAATCAACAGCAAAAAACTGGTAATTACTGAATTAAAAAACGAATTTAAAGTGGCTCTGAATAACAATCTACATTGAGAATGTGCAAACACTACATGTGGCTGTGACTTACAGGACTCTGAGGTGTTTGAGACCAGAGAAGTCTGTCTTGCTGATGACTGTCAGGTTGTTTCCGTTCAGATCACTGAAAAACAAACAGAACAACAGCAGTTTAGAGAACAGAGGAAGCAAACTGAGGAAAGACGTCAATATCAGCACATTCCAATAATCAATGAGGTGATGTACAAGACAACAGGGAACAAAGAAATGTTAAGACTGACGTGTTCGTATCAATACACACAACTACAGATATGTTAATATATTATGTGATTTAAAATGATTTTATTAAGAATAGAAGATACTGTTTTTAGAAGTTGCTACCACAAACTGTAGAAATTGTCCTACATTGGTTACACTGCAGCAGTACTGTGCATGACATCTAAATAAATAACACAAAACCTCACACATTTTTGAGTTAATAGTTGTGCTTTGAGTGCGGCTGTCCTTTAGGGTAACACACAATGGCAGCACCCTGAAGTCAAATCATCAGAATACACCTCTTAAAAAAGCAGCAAGAAAAATCACATTTGCTTCCTTGATTTGGACACCGCCGTACAGTCCGACCCACTGTTCTCTCACTGTTGACAATATGTTACTTACTATGAAGTGGTAGCATGTGTGGATGGTTGTATTCAGGTTATCAGACATCATCATCAAACTCTCATTTACTCCAAAGATTTGATGATGAGGTATCTTTATGATTTATCAGCCGCTGCGGCCAAAAAATGTACGTCTGTCCTGATTAGTGTTACTAAGCCAGAAGATTGAGCTCCACTGGAACTCACTTTCTGCTAGTTTCTCACAGAGCCAGAGTGCTCTTGAAAGTCGGGTTCTTACGCTTTTCCTCAAGGACACTTTCCATGATTTACACTGTAAAAATATCTCTACAGTACAGCACGTTGTTTCTGCTCTTTGAAGTCCCCCAGTTTGCAGTAAAGAAAGTATTTTCAGTGGGGTTCACTTTGAGGACAATCTGCATTTTTTTTTCTGTAAATCTGCTAACGTCAGCTTAAAGTAGCAAGAAAACCGAGGAAACTGTTTCTGCCAGACGTTTGTTCATATGTACAGTATGACATTCCTTCCAAGATGAAACAGCTACTGTTTGACAAGAGTATCAGGTTCCTCCTCGACTGACATCCTCCGCTGCTGTACTCATTCCAACTCACTCGAGGTGGAAGCTTCAGAGAAATTACTGAGTTTCCAGCCATTTTGTATACACACACACAGTTTAGGTATAAACTGTTATGTGATATTGTACTTAGGCTGGCACTCTATCCAACACTGTCGTAGAGGCTGCTCCTAGCGGGAGGGGTTTAACCCTATGACCTCATTGTCTACTTTGATGGACAGCTGCGAAGAAAGAGAAGAGGTGATGTCACTCTTCCCACGAGGCTTTGTGGAAGGAGAGGTAAACTGAACCCTGCGCTCATACCTGTATGTGTGTATATGTGTGTGTTTGTGTGTGTGTGGAGTGTCATGTTGCTGTACTACTGTAAAGGGTGGAGCAGAGTGTGACCTTGTCCTGTATAAAAGAGGGATAGTGGATGTTGTGGTTTGGGTGTGTGAACCGGATCTGCACTTTACTAATGGGAATGCAAAGACAACACCTGGCAAAGAAGAAGAAGAGAAAAATATATAATATCCATAAGAGAAAATTAACTCTGCATTGCATTAAAAAAGCCATTTTGCTCTCAGATTCAGAATTATTTTTCTATATCTTCCCAGTGTAGTTTCTCTTGATTCAGGTGTTTTCTATGAATTTTAGTTCTGTTTGTCTTACAGGAACTGTGACTTCTGTGTCGCGCACTAACTGGAACACTAAAGATGAAATCACGAAATTGGTGCCGTCACAACTTCGGCCTCCTCCGTGATGGATTGTCAGTGGATGCATGTTATCGAGGTCAGTGTTCAACATGAACCTTGTAGAAAGTCATGGCAGTCGGTTTTGCTTTGGTTATCGTAGCTGCTCAAAAAAATAAGGAAAAAAACCTCTCTCCATGAAGTAATTGCCTTGTTCTGTGCAATGTCACACAAACTGGTAAGGCAGACTGCTGCACTAGAGTCAAAACGATGGAGGAGGAGGTATTCTGAGAGACTGTGGGGAAAAGCAGAAGCAGGGGATTGGCTGGGACGGAGGGAGGGAAGGATGGATGGAGACGGGTCACGGCGGGGGGTCCAGAATCACTTGCTGGATGTGTGTGAAATTACCCCGACAGTTAGACCGCACAGGCAAAACAATCACCAGGAGGGAGAGAGATGTACAGCAAATGATGACCATATTGTCACACACTTTCAGAGTGTGTATGAGTGCTCAGGAACACAAAGAGTCTGAAAACATCGGCCGAATGGTGATCAGATTTATCTTTGTTGAAAGAGACACGAGGGAGGAGAGGAACACGAGTACAGCCCTGATGAGGCGTGGTTAATTCAGTTTTGTGCAGCATGGCGGGGTCAGGGGTCAGCTGAGCGACAGACTCCCCTCGAGTGGCGACTCCGCCAAACAATAGCTCATTAAAGCAGAACGCGTCTCACACACACACAACCACACACACAATCACAGCCTCAGTGGGCAGTGAGGCAGTTGATCCGCTCAGCTCTGCTCTCCACTGTTAGAACTGACATGGCGGGGAGAGCAGGAGGGGGGGCGACTGAGGAAGCTGATGAGATACATGGTGTGGGCAAAGAGAAGAAACACTGATAAAAGACATACAGTGAGAAGAAGCACTGAACCTTAAGTACAGCTGGGTATCAAACCTCAATACTTTTTGAGTGAGAGTCGATGGCAACGAATGCTCAATCAAATTCTTGTTTACTTGTAAAATATTTTCTGATCTAAAAACCGTGACAGGATTAAACACTGATGTCTTGATATATTTTACATACTGATGATGAGCAAAGCAGGGTTTTGTAAAGAAATCATCATTATAGTCGTCAAACTAAAAGTATTATAAAACTCAGGTATAATCTTAAATACACCTAAATCATCCCATCTATATGAATATCCCTGCATTCTGCTAAAAAAACAATCCCATCAATTAATAGGTCAATCAAATCAAACAACATCCAAGGTGTCTGTGGCTTAGAGGTTAAGCGAGTCATCTGTTAATCCATCCCCGGCTCCCTGCAGTGCGCATGTCTAAGTGTCCTTGGCCAAGATACTGAACCCCAAATACCTCCCGAAGGCTGTGACATCGGTGTGTGCGAATGGGTGAATGCTGACATGTAGTGTAAAGCACTTTAGGTGGTCGGAGGACAAGAAAGGTGTTATATAAGGGCAGTCCATTCACTATTTGTACAGCCAGTGAAGATCAAATAGAAAAACGTGTCTTAAAACTGGTCAAATATGAGGCTCCCTGGTAGCTCACCTGGTAGAGCTGCCGCCCATATTACCAAGGCTGAGTCCTTGGTAATATGGGCGACCATGAGCCATTCAATCAATAAAGGCAAAAAAAGCCCCAATAAACATATATAAAGAAAAAATATAAAGACATCCAATATCAGCACAAAACATTGGCCATCATCGAAAGCTTCCAGCCATATCTTCTTTTTGAAAATCCTTTAAAAAAGGTACATGAACACATACAGTTCAGTAGGAGAGATCCGAGCACACATGCGGTCAATCGATGCAAATGGCTCATTTTAATCTGCTAATCAATGGAGCGTCTGTGCAGGATGCTGGGACCACTGAAGTATCAAGATACACACAAGCATAAACAAAATCCTCCTTCCCACACCACCACACACTTTGAAGAGCGAGAGACAAACAGAGCGATAATACAGTCTCAACTTGAATAAACAAAGAAACCCAACGCCTTTCTGCTCCATCGCCTATTTACTCTACAGCAATGCAATTCAACACAAATCGTACTATGGTGGAAATGACGATAAATTTCCCTGCAAAATTAGTTTTGTTAGATCCACCCTGTCTGGATGGACGTCAACAAAAGAAGCAGCTTGAACAGAGTGTAGAGATTGAAAACAAATCAAATTCAAGTGCGTGTGAGTTTAGCTCCAACTTACGGAGCCAGGAAATATCACTTAGCATATGGAAAGACCCCAATAAATCTATATGAGGGCTATGCACAAAACAAATTAAATTAAATTCAGTTTTATATGTATAGCACCAATTAATAACAAAAGTGATCTCAGGACACTTTTTAAATACAGCAGGTCTAGACCGTACTCATTATAAAATGATTTACAGAGACCCAACAGTTACCCACCATGAGCAAGCATTCGGTGGACGGCGGCAAGGAAAAACTTCCCAGAGTTAAGAGCAGGAAACCTCGGAACAACCACCAAACCAACAACCCACTTGATATTTGACAGTAAACTTTCAAACAGACATAAAATGAGTGCATGGACCATCATTGGAGAGGTTTCTCTGTTGGGGTGGTTTCGGAGGGATCTGCAGTCCGGTGCAGCCAGGTTGTGCGATGCCCCCCTGGCCAGCGAGATGTAATTCTGTGTGTCACATGTTATTTGGATGTTGACTGAATAGAATTGTTTTCTGTTGAGGAAGAAGAACGGATTTGGAGATGGTACGCTGATGCACATATGGCTCCAGAACGGCACACAGATTTTAAAGAATCAGCCTCGGTAACCTGATCATCATTAAGGCTCATTGTCCGTAGATAGTAATGTGTCATCCGCAAGTCCGAACTGCAGCTTTTCTCACTTTGGGGGTGTACTGAGTGAGTTTGTGAGTTACAGCCCAGGTCCATGTAACCCTGTTTCTGTAGTTGGTTTGGATTACATTCAGTCCAGACAAACCTCACTGCAGTTGTAGCCGAAGCAAACTGATCCATGATCCCAAACACACTTTCAGGATTTTGTATCAATATCTAGTGAAAACCAGAATTGAAATGGCAGTATTCCCACCAGGTCAAACAAACCAAAGTAAAGGACTACGGCAACAGCTCCAAACACTTCCCATGAACCCCTTTTTAATACAGATTCAGAGCAATTTTGTGAACCCCGGGGTGGTTTCTGTCTTTGTTTGGTCATATGAGAACAGAGCAATCAGTACAAGATGTTGCTGAGCAGAAGGTTTCTCTGGACCTTTCCAACCAGCCCTGGAGTGCT